ATGCATTGTATATGTGGCTTTTCTCTTTTGATTTCATCACATGATGAATTTTCAGCTTCCTAGGATGCTTTGGCCCCAGTAGAGCCACAGAGCCCCATGCCACCCATCAAATAGCATAGGCTCCCTTCTGCCAGAGCTCCAGGCTCAACCGGGGCACAAACATCTTACAATGCTGCAGCAGCAATATGGGAGCCTTCTTGTGTTCCGTTAGGAACAATGGGCCCTAGCATAAGGGGAAGCTGCACAGCAGAGTGTGGGGATTGCCCTGTTGATTCACAACAGAGGCTGGCGAATTGGCACTGGGACTTTGGTCATCAATATGATGAGGTCCTTGGGCTGAAGCATGGCAATTATCCTATTGCCTGGTGATTGTACCATGGTAAATAGAGCATATCTTTAGTTTTTACTGGACATAACCAAACAGAAAGTGGGATGAGCTATAGTTGTAGCAGGTAGGTAGTCTTCAGCAAGAGGACCACATGTCTGCTCCATCGGCCTTCCAATTTGCCACTGAGCCAATAGTTGGAACTTGGTGGGTCCTCAGGAACATCTGAGAAAGAGGATGGCCACCCTAGATAGAAGAAATGTATTGTTCCCGAGAGAGCTGCTGCCAGTTGAAGACAATACTGAGATAGATAGACAGGTGGCTTGAATCACTGTAAGGCAGTTTCCTAAGTTCTAACCTGGGAATCTCTGCAGTCGTAGAAGGCCTTTACCTCATCACTACATAGGGGCATGCTGGAAACTCAGGTTTTGAAGGATGCCCTGATTTAGCAGGAGAAGGTAGTAAAAGCAGAATGTGAAATGACAGTAAAATGCAATGAAACTGTAAGTGGTAGCACATTTTGTAAGGAGATAACTGTGAAATAATCTAACGCGCCTCACTAGTGGATGTGGACAAAGCATAGAACTGAGGCACATTAACATTAGAATCTTTCAGTGAACATCACCATTCATGCAACTGTTTCATTTAAAGGCCACGTGTGTATTTTAATTAGAGTAACAGTTTTTCACAATAGATTAACCTGTATCATTGCTAATCAGAAAGAAAGAAAGGGAAGAGGAGGGAAAGGAAAAGAAAATGTTTTTCTTCTTCCCAGCTAAATCCTTCTCACTTGTCCCAATTTCAAAATAATTTAAGAATCTTCTTCTTTAATCCCTTTCAGTAAATGAATTTTTGCTAATGTTAATTCCACCCAGTCTGTGGACGTATTTGCTACAGTTATGCATATGGAGAATCTCTTTGGGAGATTATTGGATCAACATTTTTTGGAGATTACCCTAGAAAAATCTGATGCACAGTTGCGCTGCAATTGTCAAAAAGCTTGGGATTTCTCAGCTTTGATTACTTTTGATTTGTCTGAGGGGCTTTTAAATGAAATAGTTGGAGATTTCTTCCTGTTCAGATGTTTCTAATAGGATTACATTGTCTGTTCAGCACTCTGTCTTGAAAGTAGTACACCAAGCACTCTGCCATACTTAGCTCCAACCGCATCCTTGTATCTCACTTACACATCTCATTAGTATTATCAAAGGCTATGCAAACTTCTGATTATCATTATACTCACCTTGAAATGTTCATTATTCTTTTCATCTTTAGTGCTTTCCCAGAGGAAATAATAACTAATACCACACCATATGGCAAATGGGATCCACTGCAACTCCACATGATTTGTGGAATACTGTCTCTCCTAACACAGCTATCTACATGCATATTGCAGGTGCCCGATAGTAAATAAAGAGATGAATGGCATAATCTCTGAAACCAAAAGAGCACAGGGGAAGAGACATTTTTATCCTTCTTCCCTTCCTATGATCTTTGCTTCTTTAGTTGTACCATCTCTGCCGAGTTTAGAAATGTTATTTCTTTAGATTTGTATTTTATTTTGTTGTATTGTATTTTCGGGCTTGGCCTCACGTTACCCACCCTGAGTCCCCTCTGGGGAGATGGTGGTGGGATAATAATGATAATAATGATGATGATGATGATTATTATTATTATTAATAATAATTAGATAGCAATCACCAGAATCCTCCCAGCCAATACAAGCAGAAACCATGCAGTAGAGGGATTCTGTGACTTTTTCAAACCAATGTCAGATGCAAACAAATCCTCTTCTGTCCCACAAAGGAATTTTATGGATATGTAAAATTTATTCTGTACAATTCAAACTGAGGGTATACCTATGCTTAGGACTATGCAGCACTTCTGCTCATCTTTACCTTTAATATAGGTTGTTCATCCCTAACCTGGAATTCCCAAATCATCCATAAGAGTGGCTGAGATAGTGATACCTTTGCTTTCTGATGCTTCAATGAACCCAAGCTTTGTTTCATGGACAAAATTTGTTAAAATATTATATGTATTTATTTTCAGGCTAAGCATATAAGATATATATGAACCATAAATGAATTTTGTTTTCAGATCTGGGTCCCATCTCCAAGGTATCTGATTATGTATGTATATGCAAATATAGGTATTCCAAAACCTGAAACCCAAAACTTCTGGTGACAAGCATTTCGGGCTATGTATGCTCAACCTGTAGGTATATGAAAACATGTATCACCAACATGATACCACATGAAAATCTAGTAGTTAGGATGTTGGAGTAGTTAGAATGTTGGTGCATGATCTGGAAGATTCATGCCTCCCCTAAGCTATGAAATACACTGTGTAGATTGGCTCAGTTACACTCTAGCTTACTCACCCTTGCCATTTTCTGTCCTAATATGTTTTAAAAATCGAACCTTGAACACATTGGAAGGGGGATGGGATGAAAAAGTAAATGCAATTGAGAATAAGCCTTTTCTCTTTCTCCCCATCTTCAATTTCGATTAAGTCTGCACACATTTAACAAACCAATAGATTTAACAGACCAGGACTTCCTCAGCACTCATCCTTCCTAACCAGAGACTTCAACCCCTAAAAGCTAAATTAAAGAGATGGCAGGAAATACATGCCTAATACGCTAAGGGATACAAGAACAGCAACACATTCTATGACACCTTCTACTATACAGCCAGAGGCAGTAACTGAAGATTTTGGGGACATGATCATAATGAAAGAGCAGATTACTTCACTGCAGTATACCGTTATTTAATTCCCTGACAAGGGACTTAATTTCAGAAGATATTTTGCTTTCTATTTTGAAAGCTAACAGCCCATAAGGAGAGGATGTTGTGGAAACCGAATACTGACAGACATGAAAACCTATTGCAACAGGAGTACTGATGGCAGAAGCAGACCCTCTGAGACCCCTGAACTATGGTTAGGGGTTGTGGACAACTGCCGAGGTTCTTTCATCCTTATCTATCTACAGCAGTGGTTCCCAACCTTTTTTTTGACCAGGGTCCACTTGACCAGGGACCACTTTGACCAGGGATCACTCTCCAACATTAGTACAAAAGCATTATGAATCAGTATTTGGTCAAATTTAGATTCGGTTTGGTTATTTGGGGCGCTGATTCAGAAAATTACATTGGATAGACCACATCAGCTCTAGTTTCTTATATAGAATATATGCAATTCGGTAGATCTGCTCAGCCATAGAAAACCATATTTAATAATCTTGAGCTGACGTGGTTTATCCAATGTAATTTGCTGAATCACTCCAAATAATCCCAGGAACAGGCCTAAAAATGAAGACACTAAGGTGCACCCATTTCTAGGCATCACATGGAATGGCTCCACTCAAGGAGAGGAAGGAGGAGGAGAAGCCTTTTGTGGGTAATCAGCCTCTCCCCTCCCAACATGCCAGTTGCCTCAGCACTATAAGAGGGTTTTGTGAGACCATGCGCTCCCGTTGCAATGGTGTAGTAGCAGTGAGGCTGCGGACCATATTTTAGTTTTTGAGGACCACTGGTGACCCACAGACCACAGGTTAGGAACCATTGATCTACAGCAACTTGGAAGCCATTCTAGGAATGTGTGCAGAATGTATGTCTCCTCCACCCCAGTCCTGTCCTCGTGCCTTTTGTTTTGGTAGTTCTTTCTCTATACGTACCCTAGGAACTAGGAAAGTTCACAAACTTCATTTCTGGTGAATTGAGCTAAATTATAATAGTAACTACCCCATTACGTTGATTTTTAGATGGGTTGTTGTTTGTCTCTTCTGTCAGCTAGTCCTTCTAAGCTTCTGTGTGCATATGTGTTCATTGCTTTGCAAAAGAAGTCTAGTTTTGTGCAGACATTTGTCAGCACAAATTGTAGAAACCTTGAAGCTACATCATCCATCACAAACACTCCTCTCAAGCTGGAAGCGGAAAAAAAATCATGGGAATTAGGGATTCTTAGCAGGCTGTCAAACCATCATTTCTTCCACAGATGTGAGATGTGTCCACACATCTAGACAGAAGCCTGTAAAAAGAAGTCTTGTTTATAGACTCTTATTTGCAGAATCTATACCCATAGAGTTCCTTTAACAGACTTCTTATTAGGGCACCTTGCACAAATGGGGTTCCCATTCACAGAGATAGTACATGGATATATAACAGACACTTCCTTGCAGAGAGTCACTCATAATACACAGGGACAGAACTCACAGGGGCATGTCAAGAGCATGCATGGAGGGGAAACATCTCACATGAGTAATAATAATAATAATATTTATTTATTTGATCAGTCATATGACCATTTCAAAATAGAACACGAGTAAAAAACAAGGCAACAAGGTGAAGACAGCAGCTGACCTTCTATTTATAGTCAGAATCTTATTTTCCTGGTTCTTCTTTCAGGAAATCTGCTCTTTTCTTAATAGCTTTCAGAATAAAAAGGCTTACTCTGATTATGCTGGATCTTTCCTGCCCTTGCAAGAGGGATGTCAGAATATCATTTCTGTTGGGGGGCCTGCAGTTGGATAATATTGGATGGAAATATCTGTCTCGCAGTTCAGTATATGCTGAACAGTCAATTAAAAAAAATCTCACATGATATATTCATCTTTTGAGGGTTTTTTGGTGAGAAATCCCAAGTTTTAGAAAGAAATGTATGGATCACTTACCCAACGTTTCAAGATGTTCTGTTTTTTCTGTTTCTATTCTGTTTTTGGATATTTTGGCATGGTTCTATCTCATCTGTATTGTAGTAGTTCTTCATTATCTGCTGAATTTGACTGGGTTTTCCCCACTCAACACCAAAGCTGTTTGGGCTGCATGTTGTCGAACCTGTGTGGTTATAAAAAGAGAGAGAGAGAGTCAGAGAGATTTGCATTTTATATTAGAAAAGCTGCTAAAGCCCTTTTTAGATGTATACAATCTATGGGATCTCTCAGCAAAACTGGTTCCCTGAAAAGGAGAGAGTGAAATTAGTTCTAGTTCATAGAAAGTCTGCCTATTCAAGACTGAGGCCACATGCACTTTGTGTCATTGGAATGCTGACGGATTTTGATCAGCCCAAATTTCAAGACAAGTAGATATGATCTGAACCTCATAGGCTAATATGCAGATCAGAATGCAATAATAATCTGAATTTTGCAGTGTAGCTTTTGGTACATAAAACATACCAACGTTTATTTAAAATATCTATTTTGTGTGATTTGTAAGTTAAGAAATCAACACCTGTCCTGACAATAAATGTATTTACTTACAGCTGCAAAAAGATATTTTAACATTTATTTACACTATATATATATATATATATATATATATATATATATATTCATGCGACTTTAAAAAAATATTGCAGATTTAATGCAAAACAGTTATGGAACAGGAATAGAGAACCTTTGCTACTTCATTTGTTTTGGTCCTCCAGATTCTCTAGCAACAAAGCCAAATGTAAGGGGTGAAGGAAATGATAGTCACAAGCATCCAGAGGACCACAGACTCCACAATTCTGCCTAAACACAATCTTTACACTTCAGGTAAACTTTTGTTTGATTATGCAGACAGCTCTTCTAAAATTAAAAAATCTCTGTGTTCAGCAATATAGATTAGTACACTTCCTTTTGGAAAGTTTAGGGCAATTGTTCCTTAGGTCCCTAATCTTGTGGGATTTCAATTCTCGGGAGACCCAGATAGTATTGCCTAGTGGTAAAAGTTTCTACAGGATGTAGTCAAACAACATCTGGACAATCACTGTTTGGAAACCACTAGTTTCAGATAAACTAGGTGGTTGTGGTAAGGGTATCTACAAATGTTGTTGTGTATCCAAGTCATTTATATTTTACAGTATCCCTGAATGGATTGACTCAGGCCCGTAGCCAGGATTTCGTTTTGGGGGGGGGGGGCTGAATTTTTTTCAGGGGGGTTTCGGGGGGGCTGAGTTTCGGGGGGGCTGAGTCTGAGTGAAAGAGGGTCTAGCCTAGCAAACCTTTTGTATCATTACCCCAATACCCCCATGCATATGGGATATATTGAGTATGGTGATCAGATCATGATAGGAATAAACATAACAGTTTAAATAATGTACCAGTAAGACCTTTTCGCAGACCACCACGAGAATTTGGGGGTGGGGGCTGAAGCCCCCCACCCCCCCCCCCCCCCCCCGGCTACATGCCTGCCTCTGAGACTAAGAGAGTGTGATGTGCCCAAGATCACTTAATATGCTTTCATGGCTAAGCAACGATTCAAACTCTGGTCTCCCAGAACCCTAGTTCCTCACTGAAACCATTACTCCATGCTGCATCTCAGTCTATAAATAGCAAGGCCGAAGAGAATTCTCAGTGCTTTGTGATTAACTTTGCAGAGTAATAAATAGGGAACTTGGGACTACTTCTTCAATAATGCTTTGAAATCCCCCCCTTGCATCTCAAGGGGGAAGAGATGATGGACCTAAACACATGTAGGTTCTTGATGCAGGGGAGACCAGGGGAATCTGTAGGGCAGTGTGGCAAATCATAGAGCAGTGGGGTGAATCCATTGCCCAGCACCCTGACCACCCACTTGCCCATCACATGTTGGAAAGCATACCATTCTGGCATGCTCCTGTGCTGTCCCCATGATTTTCTATCTGAACATGGATAGTTTCCCATGATCAAAATTCCCCCTCATAAAACACTTTGCTGATGTAACCAGCAAGGAGCCTGCTGGAAGTAGCTGTACATCATGGGAGGAGATCCGCTGGGCTCTGTGCGGCTGTGTGGATGAAGTGTTCTACAATGGGGAATTTCCTCCATGTGATGAGGTCTGATGTCCTCACCCATAGATGTGCAGGTGGAGGGGATCAGAGGGGCCTCCTTTCTAGAATGGATTCTGAATTGTAGATACATGCAATATTGGAGTGATGTTCATTTCAAAAGCTCATCTTGTAGCACACTATGGCACTTAGTTTGGCACACACTAATTGAGCCTGTTTAGTCAAATACAGTTGCAAGTGAGCCACAATGCACAGACCAGCTCAGATGTACAGTGTTTCCTCACTTATCGCGGGTGTTGCGTTTCAGGACCACCCGCGAAAAGTGAAAAATCTATGCAGTGGGGACGCAGGATCCTGGAAGAGGCAGTCAGGCTCCTGCTTCTGCAGCCGCCACCACTGTTGCCACCCTTTTTGCTTGCTCACCCCCCCCTTGCTACTCACCAAGTCGAGTCCTGGTTCTGCTGCTGGGACCCGGCCTGGTGAGTGAACAAGGTGGGAAGGCGGGTGAGTGAGCAAGCGAGAGTGGCAAGGGCAGCAGTGGTGGCAGAAACAGGAGTCTGGTCACCTCTTCCAGGATCCTGCTTCTGCTGCTACTTCTGCCCTTGTGGCCCTCCCTTCCTTGCTCATTCACCCGCCCTCCCTCGCTCGCTACTCACCAGGCCGGGCCCGGTGGCAGAACCAGGACTCAGCCCAGTGAGTAGAGAGTGAGGGAGGATGGGTGGGTTAGGGAGGGAGGGCCACAAAGGCAGAAGCAGCAGCTGAAGCAGGAGCATGGAAGAGGTGGCCAGCTCCTGTTTCTGCCACTGCTTCTGCCTTTGTGGCCCTCCCTCCCTCATTCACTTACCCGTCCTCCCTTGCTCATTCACTACTCACTGGGCCACATCCCAGTGACAGAAGCAGGACTTGGCCTGATGAGTAGCAAGGAAGGAAAACTGCAAACAGCGAGTCCATGAAAAGAGAACCACGAAGTAGGGAGGGTACACTGTATATGCGATAAGATGAGATTCATGCAATCTTTTCCTGCTATTTGCACTTCTGAAAGTTAGACCTCCACATTTTTCCACTGTAGATGTTTCACAGAAACACACCAATTCAGATTTGCAAAACACCCTGCTGCTGTTCTCTTCTTGCAGAGCACCACAATTAATCATGTCTTAACATAATTTGGAGAGGGGTCGTGTGCAATGTATTTCCATCAAGCATGCCACATTCTATTAAAAGTATCCAGATTTTCATAGCAAGAATATTAAATGAAAGTAGCTCATAATTTTGCCTGGAAAGGCATGTACTACACCAAAAAGGGAGAGAGTTATTTTGATTAGTTTACAGAACCCATCTGTCATTTCCCCACTTTCAGCTATTTAAGGACAGCAGAGGGAATGGAGAAAGAAGGATATTTATTTTGGACGATGAAACCTGATTTCTTACTCTTCAATTTGACAAGGATTCAGAAGAAGATTCTAATTCATAAGAAGAGACACATGCTTGTTGCTGACCAGCAGGCTTTTAGAAATTTGCAAGATTGATTAATATAGTTGCAGATGAGCAGGTGTGCACTGCAGTAATTTACAATGTGAAGTAGGAACCAAGATGTTTGATGAGGCCGATACAAAAGTAAAGGTGCCTTCCTGACATCCTTTTCAGAAAGATCAAATAGTTTTACTCTAATGACAATACTCATTTTGAAATTAGACACAGTGAGTGGGAAGATCTTGTGCCGATGTTACATATTCATGCCCTGAAATATGCAAGTTTCTGTTGGTTTTCTTTATTATTTTTTATAGTAAAGAGATGAAAGTTATTTCATCAAAACTGAAAAAAGGCAAATGGGAAACCCAGAGTTCCTTATTTGCTATGCAATAATTCAAAGAGGCAAAAAATTTATAAGGCGACATGGATGTGATGGCAATCAAGGAATGCATGAAATAAGCACATTGCACTGAAACCATCTGGAATGAGCAAAACTCAATTTAGTCAAGTCTCAACTATTTATATGTTCTGAGTTTTATCTACTATAGTCTTCCTACTTTGAGGGCCCCAGTGGGTGAAGGGCTGATAAGGAAATACCATAAACAAACAAACAAACAAACAAACAAGACCTAATTTGGGTCCAAACTAGAGGAACCTGTGCTGATAGCTGGAAAAGTCACTGGGACATTTGTGGTTTTTTTATGGGGAGGGAAGTGATACATAAGCAAAGACCACCATCCTTTCTCTTTCCCCCAACAAAGTTCTTTGAGGAAAAGCTCAGCAGTATTGTATGTGTGATGAACTCCCTTTCCTCCTATTCCTCACCAATATGTATGTGCAAATGCAGATAAAAAAATCTGATAAAATCCTAAATCCAAAAAACATCTCCTGGAAACATGGTCAGTGGCTATGATGGTTGGGACACTCTGGAACCAACAAAAACTCACATTTCCAAACTCTAGTCTCATTCAGTGACACTCCAGCTGGTATCTTAATTTACATGCTACCCCTTGCTTTCTTGCTTTACTCATTATTTTCAAAGTGCAAGAGCTTGTCAAATTAAGCTTTACTAAATCTGTGGGCTTCATACCATCCATCATGGCAGTAATATCCTCAAATGACTCCTATGTGTTAGTAAAGCATGACCTTCTCTGCCTGAATCTATACAGGCAACTCTTAATCAAACTACATTCCCAGGTATTCACCAGTCACTTCCCCTTTAAAAAACAAACCAACAACTCCTACTTTCTCTTAGCAATTTCCGTGCTTAGTTTCATGATTTTCTAACTAATCTAATCCTGCATTTTGGCTTAATACTTAAAATGTACTTCAGCAGCACGTAGAAAGATGATTTCTACATTATGTACTGGTTGTTTTAATCTGTATTGATTGTATACATTGTATTTTAATAAGTTGTTGCTCTCCACTCCAATAATCCATGGAAAGAGGCAGGTAAGAAATAATCAGCATCATTCAACTGAAGGCCCCTTTTATTTCCAATTTCAATCATTGGTAAGCTTGGTAGTAAAAGGTCAGTACATCAGAGAGAAGGAGCACCACCTCTGTCACTCCAGATTAGAGAAGTCTGTAGTTGCTCTTACCACCAGTTTGCTGTGGC